AACACTTGAAGAACCTCACGGAGCTCTCGTTATATGATCCGGGGCTGGAGCTGGTTCCACCCTCAGCCCCGCCCACCTTCCAGGCTTCTCGAGCTCCTTCTCGAATGTTCCCGAGAGCTCTTCGGGACCACGTGACCGCCCCTCGGCCCCCGTCCACCGGTGCCCCCCCTCCAGTATCGTCCGGTCACGTGACAACAGGTCAGCCAGAGTGTCATGCCCCAGAGTAACCCTGGCTGGCTGACGCTCGCGAACCAGCGCTCACCCAACCACCGCTAGAGTTGGTACTGCAGCCCATAACCCAGGCTGCCCGTGATCACAACGTTACCGGCCGTGACTTCGCAAGCCCGGCACCACACAGTGACAAGTACAGTCACTACACTACAACTTGTCTTAACACTACAAAACATATTGTCCTAGAAATACATGCTATTGTAAAATAAACTAATGCCAATCTTTTCAATAGTCCAACCTCACCTCTGTAGCATGCTCACTCAGCTCTCGTCCCCACGTGCACAAACCCAATGCCACTCTCTCCATGGCACACAACTCGATAATTACGATGCACCTCTCAATGGATCTCCGTCAACAAATATCAAAGCTCCCCTTTAGTTTCTCATTCATATTCCCCCCCTCTTGACTCCGCCTTTTACATACACCTCTTTTAAAAAAAGACATCCCTTTTTAATAACACAACCGTCCCCTCCTGACGGTGTAATATCCATTTTTATGAGCCATTGACTTTTCCTCACATGTGCATGTCCAGATGCATAATTGGATATAATGGGCCCATCAGGGTCGCTTCAACACTCAAACGAGTAAATGAATGCTCATCGGTTTGGCTGCCCCCCTGACAGAGGTGGACATTCCTCATCTCCTGGTCAGGATTGCTCTTCCGTAGGACACTGCTGACTTTCCACACAAATTGGCCCTTCAGTTTTTTTTTATTCTTCGAGGAGGAATGATGGGCAGGGTTTATTAATGGCTTGGGTTTGATCTCTCACACTGGCGACTATAAGTTAAGCACCATGACACAATGTCCCATGTGGTTAGAGTACTGTAAATGCGTTAAATTCAGTTTTGTTGTGCATTACATACACATTGTATCGTCTTCAAAGATGTCTGGCCAATATGGAAGAGTAGGCAGAATACCCTCTGGAGGGGCTCTCTACGGCTCCTGCTAAGGGAGGCCCTTCCACCAGCAGTGCTATAAGCAAGCAATGTCAGGGCTGCACCTTTACGTGTACACATTTTCTATCACGTGTATACAGAATATTGTGTATATCCTATATCCAGGCAATACATTATGCTACCTATGTATTGATATCTTCCAGACTTATGTCAGGGTACACGTATTTTCATCTGTGCGAATGTCCATGCTTCTGCAATTTGTGAACACACTGACCTATTCAAAAAAGGGAGATATCCCATATGGTCGTGCAGATGCTGGGGGGCCAGCTATTTTTTTAATGGTTTGTTATGACAACTCAACGGGAGCCCGATACAAAGCGCGGGTGGGGGGGGGCAGAAAGGCGTGAACAGCAACCCCGAGTTCGACGCGACAGGACCGAGGTGAAGGGGGGGGGGGGAGGAAACTGGGCTCACTGCCCCAGCCAGGTGAGGACTGGGGGGCACATGGAGGTTTTTATGGGGAGGGGGGAAAGGGTTAAGGGGCCGTCCATAAATGACGTCACGCGATTTTGAACGATTTTTGAACCCCCCCCCCCCTTCGTCACACGGCGTCACAAAAAAGTCAGACCCCCCCTCAAATATGACGTCACAAAGCTCTGCCCCCCCCACCCCCCCAAAATAAAACATGCTTCTTCAAATCGCTTTAAACTATTGTCATTGTAGTGCGTATTTAATGTGTGTTGTAGGAGAAAACATTTATTAAATAGTCTATTTAATTAAGTAGAACGTGTTGTCTATATTTATTTAAAGTTGCGATTTTGGATGTGACGTCACATTTCTCAGGGGGGGAGCGGGAGGGGGGAACCCGGGGGGAGGGAGAAGGCAAAGGGAATGCAAAAGAGGGGAAGCATGTAACAACAAAAACATCACTGCAAATAAAATAAAATAATTTGGCCACCAACCAGAGGTGGGACAAAGTCATTGTTATGCAAGTCCAAGTCGAGTCTGAAGTCATCAAATTCATGAGTCGAGTCTGACTCGAGTCCAAGTCACATGAGTCCACACCTCAGAGGTGGGACAAAGTCATTGTTATGCAAGTCCAAGTCGAGTCTGAAGTCATCAAATTCATGACTCGAGTCTGACTCGAATCCAAGTCACATGACTCGAGTCCACACCTCTGCCACCAACTATTAAAGCTACAATGGCACACAAGTGGGCAGTGTTGCAAGCACCCCTGCAAGCGCTTCCACATTTCTCTGTTGATGTTTACATACTGCACCGAGTACTAATTTTAGGCAAAGTTCGTCTATTGTAGGACCAGATCAGGTCTAGATAGACCTTTGCAGCGTTGTTGTTTATGATCAGGGGCGCCGCGGTGGACGAGATGTTAACTACCTCGCCTGGTATGCAGGAGGTCATGGGGTCGATCTCGACCCTGATGCCTGCTGCTGTATATTTGAAGCTTGCAGCGTCTCTCTCCCCGTGGTCGCGTGGATTTTTCTTTTTCTTTTATCTCCACATTTAGAATCAATATGCGTTTAGAGTATAGTATTTGACTGCTGTAAATATTCACATGATAAGCCACTTCGTTGAACTATCTATCATTTGTGGCAGGGTCGCTTCTGAAAAAGAGCCATATAGCTCAGTGGACCTCACCTGGTAAAATAAAAATGAGTTTCATAGTTTAGTTTGATCAGGAATTGAAACTAGGTCGTCAAAATGGCAGTGCAGTGCGTGAACCATTATGACTTCCCTCCCTTCAAAGGCAAACATGCGCATTCAAAAGGGTGTGCACAAAGTATACAGTGCATGCTGTTTGTATGCTGGGGGAGGAGAGTAAAAAGCTCGTTTTGAAAGCTTTGTTCCCATAACGGGCCTTCTTCCGTGGCAACAACGGGGTTTTCTCAACCAGAAAGTGCACGCCCAGTGTCCGCTACTCACACCAGCAATCCATGCTTCACAACGTGTTTCCCTTAATCTATTCTGGCCCAGAGACATTCACATTTGTGGCAAACATTAATTTAGGTAAGTCAATGGATTAAATATACTCAATATTGTTTAAATTTGTGAATATTGGTGACAATTCGTATGAGACACCACCAATATTCGGTGCTAATTTGGTCATTTCTTGCCAATAAATAGTGGGAAACAGCATCTGCCAAGACGTGTATCAGTCCCAATACATTTTCTTAAGTGTTATTATAAAAATGGCTGCATTCATACAGTTACTGTATTGATAATGTATCTTGATCAACACATTTCTTATTGTTAGATCCGATCCATGCAATTTCACGGTTAAGTCGCCATTACGAGGCTTTTTCCCCCTCTATCACAATGAACACCTCTCTATTCACTGCCATGCACTGAAAACCTTCTCGTTACTGCTATCAGCTCTGTCCGATTGGCAATATCATCCAACAGGTTATTTTTAAAGGTTCATAGACGTTGGATATTGCGTACGTTTTCACACCTTCTGAACCAAGATTGAACTATTTTTGCCTGGAACCTCATTTTATACCCTCTCATCTCTTGCGTCCAAACCGAGAGAGTTAACTTACATCATCATGGAACCAAGGCAAGTATAGCCACTATGAGACACCATTAGACGATGAGATATTGTTAATTCAGGTCAATTCTGGGTGTACGTGGTCATCGAGGATCCACATAGCTATCGGGAATGTCACTGGATTTTGGTGGCTAATCTTTATTGTGTTATCGCAGACTCGGTATCCCATAATCCTAGTCAACAGCTCCTTTAGCTGCCACCTTCACTTGATTGTTATGGACGATGTTGTTGATTTTACAAGATGAGGACGGCCAGTTGTATTCAGGCAGGTGCTCTGCATATTGTTAAATACATAACCAAGTATTGGTGGGATTTCATATTGTTAAAATATTTATATAGTTTTTAAATAAATACATAAATAAAGGATATCTATGCAGTATATGATAGGTGGAAGATGAATATGTAATATTACATTTCTATAAGCGATTTCTCATGACTAAGGACTGTACCAGTTCAGATATCAATTGTCACTGATGTTCGTAGTGGCCAGGAATCAAACTCAGGTCACCAGAAAACTGTAGCAGATTAAAACCGCAAATGAAGAGGTCCCATTGAGATTTGAGGATGTTATTACATTAAGCCTGCTTTGTAAGGTGAATACACTCTAAAGCCACCTCTCCAGAAGAAAACAAACTATTATTTTCCGGTATGTTATTCAGGAGTTGAGTGAATACTTTTTGCAGTTTAACAATATTACAGTCATGTAAAATCCCGTGCAATTGTGCACAGGATTTTACACATATCGAGATTTTGATCAGCACCGCATTATATACCCACGTGTAGATGGGCCACTTTTGCATAACCTGTGTGTTATGCACGCTACACACCTGACATAGAACACATTTTTCAATATACTCTTCTCGTACTGACATTGAATAATAAACGTTGAGCGGATTCAACATCATGAGGGCGTGTGTCGGTAAATGTACAAAAAAACATATGATACAGTGAGTTGTTTTGCCTTCGAGACATTAAAGGAATGCACATTTAAAATTAATTATAAATCCAAATTACAGCAAGATTTGGTTTAATGTCATGGATTGTATCATTCAAGGATTCACTCACCCAGCTTACAAATATGCAGACTAAATATATTATTTTAAATACATTAAAAAAAACGTTGTATATATGAAAAAACCCACGGTAATTTGACGAATGTATATAAATTCAAATCCAGGATGGAAATGTCTGAATATGTTGAGTGCAATGACTCCTGGTGTGCACCCCCACAAAAAGCCAAAGAATGGCACGCTCCACTCTAGAGGAATCGGCGCTCAGGGCGAGGCCACTTGCGTTGACAGTGACATTCGACCAGGAGGGACGGAGGTGAGACAGAGGCATTCCGCCCCATTCGCACCCATCCACCCGCATTCAACAAACAGCAGCAACCTCTCACATCTGTACCGTGTGGCAGGGTCAACAGACGCCACCATCGGTCCATTCGATTCAGGTAAGGATGTTGTTGTCATTTTGTTACGTATGATTGCCAAAGTGTGTGTTTTTTTGTCTGATAATGACGATGATCATGAATGCCGTGGCGATTTCACGAAAAATTGATCTCATACTACTGATACAATATCATTGAATGAGCCCGCTGTTATTAAATGGGCTGCATTCCAATTAATTGAGCACGAAGCCATTTAGTAGCGCGTGTGCTGATTTTATTGAATTAAGCATACCGATCTATGTACCTCGTATCATCGAGATGCTAACGAGATGTGCAATTAGAATACTGTACCGTGTTTGGTTTGGGAGAAAAAAAAATGTGCCTTAATTTACAAGGGCTATGAATAGGCAACACAATGACTAACACTGCATGGGTCTGTATCTTTAATGACACACTGTGGTCAATAATTGCAGGATACTGTACAACGTATAATATCACTGCATTGTGTTGTCTATGTGTTACCGACACGTGCCATTTAGCTGTGATGTAACCAGAGTCTTGTATTTGGTGGGACTGGTGTAGTTTTAAGGAATGGATAAAAACAACAACCCTCCCCATTATAACGGCAAACACGCTCCAGTGCAAATTCAGATTATTGGTGGTGGGGGAAGGTGGCAGCAGTGAGAATTGGCAGAAACCTTTTTGCAGTGGAGGTGGTTTGCCTGCTTTGCTACCTCTGGGCCATTCTGCCATCCCCACTGATGACGATGCAAAGGCTTATTTACGCAAGACAGATGGGCAGTCTTATTTTCACGTATTATTCCAATAGACAGATGGGTTTATCCACATCTGTCAGCTAAGACTTGAGCATGAAAATCATGGCGATAGGGCTATGGACTATTACAGAAAAATGAAAATGCGCATTTGGCTTGACCTATTTAAGGATTTTTTGGGAATTTCAATTGAAATATCACGTTGCCTATGTCTCTGTGGGAAAGACTCACACGAAATGACGTTACAAATTTGCATATGCAAAATCACATGACAACCTTACACGTTGTTAAATATGTACAGCCCTCTGTCAATCCACTGCTGGATGAAGGCCTCCCCCATGCCGTGTTGGTTATGGGTTTTGTTTGGTGGTAGTTCATCTCGCTGGTCAGTGTGGTTTGGTGAGGTGAGAGCCCAGGACCGGTTCAGATATCACCCGCCGCTAATGTCAGCCAAGGGCAGGAATTGAATTGAGGTCGCCGGGGTTCATCGCACAGTGTGTGCGAACCCCTGCACCACCGCTTGATGCAACAAAAATGTTAATTAAAAACAGCACTCTACTGTATATAATGTCTACAGTTAGGGATTTAGAGAGTATATATTTTTTTACGAATTGTATGTTAGCATCATATATTAGGGGGAGTGCAATTGAAAGAGAGGATGAAAACAATCTGACGTGTGATATATATATTTTAAATAATTATTTGTTTTTTCCCCCAAAGCCACCTCCCTCGGCCCGCTCCTCTATTGCAATGGCATGCCAGCTGTAATTATTTCGGTGTTTTACTGAGGACGTTGCTGAAATGGCACGAAGCATTCCGCTCAACAACCTTGTGGCATCTCGCTGGCAGTAAGCTCACAAACGGTGACCTCGCTTATTCATCGCACACTGCTCCAGCTGGTCTTACACCACTGCGCATTTAACCATTTCGTTTGACATTTCGTTTGCCGCTACATAATTGCACTCAATTCTGAAGTCACTTTTACAACCGTCGTCTGATCTTGTTCAACCAAACCACGAATACGATTTCACTCGTCTACGAATGGAAAATGTAGTTTCTTAGCTGCATCTCAAAAATGTAGAAACGCTCTTTTTGTATTGCCTGTCATGTGCAAATAATTACACCTGAAGTTGCCATCACAGCGCGTCTTCTTAAGTGGTTACTATTAATTCTAGATTTGAAGCTTTCGTGACTGCAAGGATTCATACTCTTTGGTTTTTTCAGTTAAGTCACAAGACAGTGTTGACTGTGCCTTGTAATATGGTACCTGTAGTGGAAATCTGCAGGATTTAATCGAGGGTTGGGCAAAATATCTGATTGGGTGGTGCTGTGGTAGAGAGTGTGGCTTGAAATCCGAAGACTGTGAATACAAATCTTGTTTTGGGGTTGACTCAGCCTTTCTCACCAGTGGTTGTCCTATGGAGAGATTTATCCTCACCATAGGAACGTGGAATTTCCACCACTGGTTAAGGGATGTAAACAAGATGAGCAGCAACCTATGGTCAATTGAACGTGATGCCACTTTGACTGTTTGACTCTTTTTTTGGTCACAAGATAAAACAATATTAAATAACACTTAATATTGATATGACACATGATTAAATATCGTTTATTTTTCCGTTTCTTCAATATGGCACTGTCTGTACGCACAAGACTCTTCAAGGCCTGCGGAATTATACAGCGTTAGTGGCTCCTATATCAGACAGGTATTTGGTGAGAGGTGGGAAAAATGGGTTTCCTTCACTATCATGGTGAAGTATAGCCCAACAACTGCCATAAATGACATACCTGAACCGTTGCTCCTTGTTCTCCAGCCGCTCTGGTAAAGAGAAAACCGTTCAGGAAATGGAGAAATGAGATCAGTATATGTGCAGGAGTGAGATGTATTGTAGCATCTCTGGACTGTGCGTTGTGGTTATGACATGGGGGGTAGATAGCTAGACAATGGCTCATGACTATGACATTTGTGAGTAACTGCACTTAAAATAGTTCCATACAGACAGAAGCTCTTCCAAATAAACCTCGCATGAAATATTAGTTTCCAATTATTTCCTCATGTATATTCTTCCAAAACTGCGAGGCCTAATTGGTGCTATCACAGCCCATTCGATAGTTCAGAAATTTAATTGCAAAGACAGTAAAAAAAAAAATCTTAAATCAAATGACCATCGGATGGTTGTTATCGATGTTAAATAATTATCATAACATATGGCACTTTGTCAGTCCTCAGATACTCAGCTAGGTGAAGGCTCCCTCCAAGTGAATCATGGTGGTTGTTTGACCATACTTCACCAAGCTGGTTAATGCAGTTTGATGATGTGTCGGGATCCAACACGGGTTTCGCTATTACTCACAAGTGATGTAGACCATCGATGGCTGGGATTTCAACTCGAGCCACCTGCCTTATGTATCACATTGTGCAAACCACTGCTCCACTCTCCCACTCCACTGAAATTCCACATTCCTATGGGAAGCACCGTTGATATTTCACAAAAGGAGTACTAGAAGAATGTAGGGCTGAGTGAACCTTCCAGCATTCCATTTGTGAGTTAAACTCTCTCACAGAGCTTCTGGTCTGAAAATAAATGCAATATACCATTACAACCAGCTTCGTGGGGTGATTTGCCAGAATTCTTAAGAAGTCTTCCTGCTTTCCAGTCATAAATACCAGCAACACGTCGTACTCGAATTGTAAATGTTGTGGGTTTACCCTCCAACACATTGGTGTGCTGAGGTAGTAAATAATTGGCACGTTTCGTTTACGTGACAACCCTCATTAATTGACTGTGTCGGATGGTTGTGGGTTAACGACACATTTATATTTATGTAATATGACCCAATATTGTTGATAATTATTATGACATTATTGACATGTTTGCACCATCTTTATGTCTCATACAAAACGTGTATTTTGCAAATCTGGCCTTAACTGTAAAGTACAGTACAGTACTACTGTACTACTGTACCGTAATTCCGGTCATTGGTGTAGATGGATAATACGGTGATGAGTGCCTGGAGTCAAATAGCGCGCACTCAGTCACCCGAGATAAATATTCAATACGTGCAAAAATCCCAAAACCTACAACTATGGTCAATTAAAAAGTGCACCTGTCTTTTCTTCTTCTAAAAATATGAATCGCAATGGCCTCTTGATGCTTAAATCATAAAATATATATATCCATAGTGTTTTTTAATGTACTTCCAAACAACTCTGATTTAAAGGTAACAGTAGTAGTATTTTCATTATCTCACTTGAGTTGTCTTGCCAAATGCAATGGCTTGATGCTATGGCTTGCACTGGCCATTTTCATATACATTTTTCACAAGGCATAGAGCTCACAGATACTTATGGACATGTAAATCCCGTACTCATATTGGAGACGGTAACCCAATAGTAGAGAATATGTTAATTGCTACAATCTTCTTTCGCTTTCAATAGAGCATTTACTGAAATTGGGCCTGAGATCTACTGGGTGAGTAATTCCTGGATCGACATAAGGGTACTGTAATATAAAAATTTTAAAAGGATGTAGAACACAAATAGATTGCTTATTTTGTATACGTTTTAGTTTTGGGTAGGAAAATAGCCCAATGTGCAAATTTTGCAAAGACAAATTAACAGTTGAAACGTTGTATTCTACAAACGTATCAGCTGCATAATTACTAGCCAGCATTCTTTTAATCTCAGCAAAATTGTGAAAAACAATGGTGCTAAGGCCCATGTAAGCCCATTTCAATCAGCCGTCAATTCCCAGGTGACCTCATTCCAACCGATCACAGGATAATTTATCTCCACGTGACTTCAATCTGGCCAATCATACGCCAGATTATTCATGAAAATTCTATAGATTCCCTTTAAAATATAAATAGGGGACAAAACGAACGCAAAGCAAGGTTTTAGTGTTTTCACAGCTGCAGCGTTAGCGCTGTACATTCGAGGCACGCGTATCGTTAAAGGCCAAACATCAGACGTTGACTTGTCATGGAAATTTGCAAGCTTCGGGGCACCGTCGAATCGTTTGACATTCACCAAGGATCCAAGGTGCAGCGCACACAACACACAGTGGCGCATTAGGATCCCGCTGCAGAATCTTGGCCACGCTCTCACCCCGCTGCTAGCGCGGCTGAAATGAAAGCATGAGTGGCACGATTTTTTAAAATTTGGAAACAAACCCCTACCCCCCCTACAACTTATTTCTCCTTTTGACATTTAGAAAAAAAATGTTTGAAACGTCTTGATAGTTTTCTACAGGAAAATTAAATTGAAGTGAAATTCCTTTCGGATTGTTA